ATAGTTATCAATATTATATTCCATTTCTGGCAATATATCCCCCTAAATCCTCCACACTAGACCCCTAAGTTGTATATTTATTGAACTTATAGCAAAACAGGCTCTGGGCACAAAACTCTTTAACAGATAATTTTATCAGACAGAATTCAGGACACCTGCCCACACAGTTTTGGGGGAATCAGAGTAAATGTTTCCAGTTGCTGCAAGACTAACTAAGCTTTGATTGAGTTCTCTGTCTCATTCTGTCGTAGTGTTTGGTGTTGATATCGGCTAAGAACATGACAAATACTCACTGTGAGTGTGACCTTTGAGTATGCTTAGTCTTTAATTACTGAGGTCAGCTTTCCTGGTATAGATTAACTGTTTGGTAGGTGTTTTATATCAATCAATATCAGTCTCCATGTATACAAACCCTGCTACTGCTTTATGTGTTCTGCCGTCACAGCGGTGGCAAGCAGCAGTGTCTGGTACTGCCTGCTGACAGTTACAGCATTAAATGTACCTGATTCTCTAAATTACCCCAGATGATTAGTGGCAAACTTTGGTGCAACATGTAGACATTAATGACTCTCTGCCAAATAACAATTTAGCTTTCCATGGTTTAAAAAAAAAAAACCCACTCCTACGAAACATAGAGCTGCCAGTAATTCGGTTTAACGATCGTGTTAACTGGTGGCTTTCAGCTAAATGTGTCTGTGGTTGGTCATAGTAACTTAAATGGTTAGTGTAGATGATAAACAGATGAGTATTTAGAATTGATTAAAATTGAAGGCTTTTACGGGAACATCCTCGTGTTCTGTTTGTGTTTTACACGAAATGAGCAATCATGACGGCAGCTGAGAGTTACTGTAATGCTCATTAAACGGAAACAACGGACAATTTTATGTGTTCTGTTTGTGATGTTGACCGAAGGATGTTTACTTTGTGGTCTCTGCCCTAGTTAGAGCAACTAACATTATATTTTATAACACCATAGTTAGATAACATAGTTTTTATTCATAAGGAACACTGCAGCCCCTAGACAGTAAGATTATCCTACTAATACTAGCTACATTAGCTAAGTACTGCTAACTTAGCTGACGATACTTGTTGTATTTTTTGTTTTTCCCAAATTTGAGGTTTGCCACTACTGTTGGAGAAACTGAGAACTGCACAGGTTTTTCCCAATGTTGTCAGAAGTAATATTACACAGAAAGCTCAGGTAAAAGTAGAAAATTACGCACTTTGTAGGACAGCTTGCATTCAAACGTGCGCCCATTGCAGTATTGGCAACTCGTTTACTTCTGGTACTTTCCCATCTACACACATGTAACCTTGTGTCTTGGTATGAATGCAGACTTTGCGTAAAGTAAAACATTAATATTAGCTAAATATGTTTTAGTGCATTTTAATTGTTTTTTAGTGGATCATTATACTATAGGATTTTGAAAAACAACCAACTAGATCACAAAATAAACTCTCGTGAGTGTTGAAAGCACTGTAAATAGTAAATAGTGGGGAGCATGTAGGACATTTTCTTTCTTGCTTTTGACACCAAAAACATTGTGCCTTTGCATTGTGTTGTTTTTTACTCAAACATACCTTTCTGTTGCCATTGCCCATTCTAGTGTGAGTGTAATACTAACAGAGGGACAGTGATGCTGTTTTCTAGCATTTTAAGGGCATTGTGGTCACTTTGCTTTTACTGTACAGAGGCATATAAGCTTCACCATTCTTCTGCTTCGGAACCTAATAAATTCAGATTGCTGAAATGTGTTTGGCTTACAGATTCAGTTGTTTATTTTTCCCGTGCCAGTTATTAATTACGAAATAGAAACTTAATTACAAGCCCCGTGTGTTGTTTTGGTACTGTTTCAGTTTTGATTGAACACTTCTGATCTAAATACTTATTTTACACAAACTGTAAATAGCAGCGATAAAATGAGGTCTGTCAGGCTGAATTGAGCTCCAATCTAATGAATAATGTTTTAATATTTGTTTAAGTGGTATTGTTTGCATGTGGCACATAAAAAAAATACTAATTTGCACTTAATTAGATTTAGTCTCTTGGGATTTTGAAAATGAACAACAACAGGGACCAGCCGCTTGCTGGTGACTAATGCATTGCAACTAAATTGAAAATATGTAAATGAATAAAAGCAGTTCATTAGTGGTTACTGAATAAATACATATGGATATTAGAATCTGACCTGCACATGACTTTTCACACGTCTGTGCGCATGCCGACACACACATATACACAAGGTGCCACACCCTTGGCTTGAATAGCACGGCCACACACTAGGTTACCGTGGCTTTGTTAATAGGGGTGGGAGATTTGCTGTGGGGCAATGGGGGGAGGGGTTTTTTTTTCTAGGGGAATCCTTAGCTTACAAAGACTCACAATACCTCCAATGGCTAGTCGTGTTCCTGTCTGTGCTTCCAACAAGATGCTGACCCCCCTTCCCCCTGCTGCATCCCCACGCCTTTGCCACTATAGCTTCCTTCACACTGTGGGTACCAAGATGCCGATAGGAAAAATCAGCAGATGGTGAAACACTTTCTGAGGGCATTTTAGGCATCCTCGGCTTCTAACATCAGTTCCCTGGCATCTCGTATTTTCATCACAAATGCTATGTGTTTTATACACGAAGCTGGTGTTTCCATATCGGATGAAAGGCCTTGTGTATTTTTTGTATGCATGCATGTGCAGCTTAAAATCCTCCAGCCACTGCCTGTGCTCATGACCAACAGAAGGAGCCAAAGAAGCTCAGTAAGCTTATTAATGTCTCCTGGTCGGTCTCCAGTATGGGCTTGCTAGTTGCTATAGCAACCAGGACCTAGATATTGTTAAGCAGAAGAGGCGTGTGGATGTAGAATAAATATAAACATCACCCTGTAACCCTGGCAGGTGCTTTTTATGTAAAACAGCCCATCTCACTTGTCATTATTAGTGTTTACAGTAATTTATTGTGCAATATAAAAAGCACGTGTAAGGACCCTGGCTATTGTGTGGTACACAGTACACTTGCTGTTTTGCATTTATATGGTATCACTTGGCTGCTGACCTCACAATCTGGATTTTCAGTATAAAGCGATGGATGCAACTGAATGTGAGGCTTGACACTGAAAATCCAAATTCCGATGCTCATCTCCCAGCGCCTGCAGAAATCAACAGGCGACAGCGCTCTCCGTCTTAAGTGCTGATGTGTGTTCACGCCCAGTCAAGCTGAGGGAAATCAAAAGACACTGAAAGATTAAGGAGGTCAGGTTTTACAGCTCCACTGAGGGAGGCAGGGAAAGAGGCTTTACCAGCCATTGACTACCACGGGGAAAAGGATGGGCTGCTCTCAAAGAGACCATGAGATATATCACAGGCTGGTGGATTTGTTTAAATGTCAGAGATCCACTCTCATAAAATGGTTGATGAATGATTTTGTTGAAAAAGTGTCATGTTTCAACATTTTGTTTACAGTTTAGCATTAGCTGTCTTTTGATTTTGCTGTTGACCCAATTGATGCTCTCCTCCTCCCGCAGCAGATTACAGATTCTGTTGCATCGCTATGGCAGCAATAAATCTCATGGTCATCTGTAGCTAATAGTCTGTTGAGGCTGTGCAGATCATATCATTACAGCATTGTCCTATCTCTCTATTGAAAGCCCAGGCTCTTAGACCACATGAGAAGCCAGGCAGTCAGCCAGAAACACTTATCATCCTGTCATCCGTTTTTCACTAGCTTCACAGCTCAATTGTACTGTACACTGAGCATCCATAAGAGCTCGGAGATTTGGGGCCAGTAGGGTGATCTAAATCTCAAAGTGAATCTGAGTGGCTTTGGCACCAGAAAAGAATTGTTCTCTGCTAAGTATGCAAAAATAAACGCACAAAGAAAATGCAGGATTACCATGGATGTATTCTTGTGGCTTTCCAGAATTCAGTGTGGATTAAATTGGTTTAAAGCATAAGCCTAAAAACATATCCATAGCACCATTCAGTTGGTTTCCCCTGCCAGTGTGTTAAAATTGTACATTGGTTTATACATGGTTAATAAGAGATACACATGTACTCAGTATTAAATGTCGCACCAGCAGTAACCATGATGCATATTAGCCACAGAATTTGATATCACACTATTGGCTGACTTGCTGACGAGCAAGGACCACAAATCAGGAATAAAAAAAGTCTGCAGTTTTTATTGTAAATTATAAACAGCTGATGCTTAAAAAGTATAAGAAAACAGAATTTAAATGTTAGCTTCAACCTAAAACTGAACTTGTCTGTCCTCAAACATGAATGCATCTTTAATACATTAGGTTGTAAGAAGCTGTTGTTGCACTCCTGAAAAAATCATCAACCACGAGCAGAATTACTCTCCTGTAACTGGCTCAGTGACTGAATAATTAAAAACATCAAAATGTGTCTGTCAGGAAAGAAACTTCTGGGGTTTTTTGTGTGTAGTCTGTACAGACATGGTGACATGACACAGTTCAGATCACACACACAGATCCAATAAAGGAGCACCACATATTGTGTCATTAATGCTGAGGATCTATGTGTACCTACAATCTAATAGCCATCCAACAAACTCGGGATCCATGTTAAATTTGGACAGTCATGGCCAAAATACAGAACTGGGTTATGTTAACACTAAAGGGAGAAGGTTTAAAATAGATGATGTTGGGCCTGCAAAATTAAATTTGGTGACAGTGTGGACAAGTCCTCTCTTGTTCCAGTATGAAAAACATTAGTGATCCGTTACATCCCCGCGTTATCTCCTTTTTGACAAGTTCCTAAAATCCCTCCATAACCAGTGAGGTGAGGACACTGCTACACAATCATTATCACAGGAATGGCATTTTCACCCAAAACCACAATTGTTTAGCTTCTTCTGCTGCTCTAGATGGCACAAGATGTGTCAGCACATTTAATTTGTGTAACCACAGGCAAAGTTTTATTGACATGTTCACAGAAAAACACCTTTGAAAGTCAAGGCCTGTGATTCATCATGTAGTATTCCACACATATTGACACTGCAGTCCATACAAGTGCTGAAATCTATTCAACCAGAGGCTAGAAAATTCACAACATTAATGATGATCAAGCAATCCAATTTAGGAATCAGGTATAAGTTGCACATCATTTTACCAGCATTTGGCGAATCATGATTTCTTATAATGCAGATTAAAAAAAGTCTGTGTGTTGCCTCAGTGATGGTAAAGAAGGGAGGATGCATGTTAGCAGATACTTTGGCTTGTCATTGTAGGAAAATCACAGGTGTATTTAACAATATTAATGATGGCAGCTGTATTCAATTTAGGGGATGTCCTGATGTGGTGCATGCTGGCTCACTGGAATAGCTCACTGAGACACTTAATGGAACTGTGATATTAATGTCATCAATTTCACCTATGTTTTTCCTATTATGACATGTCAAAAAGCCTGCTGTAAAAATGGTCCATTGGTGGGAAAAGAAACATCAGGAGTAGCATCTTAGCACTTAGGACGGTGAGCAACACAAACAGATGAACAGCAAGCTTGTCAGTTTCGGCTGCACACACTGATTTATTTCCTCTTTTTGTCAATGGTACACCTACAGCAGTGGGTATTAGTCTAAAAGACATAGAGGAGAACTCTGCTCATGACTCAATGCTGCCACCTACTGGTACAAACTGGCATAGCCCAGACATGATGGTGGAGGCACAGTGACATTACATAAGCCATAACAAACAGTGACGTCTGTCTTTCAAAACAAATTATACTCCAGTTTATACTTGTGAGGCACAAGAGTTAAAATAGGCTATGCTCTGAAGAACTGTGACACATCAATACATTAAGTGACACACACACACACAATATATAATAACAGAGCACAGAGCTCCATCCAGCTCCTTTACTAGTTAACCAGTGAGCGTCTGACAGGCTGGTGCACCTTTATCTCCTTGAAGGAAACAGCAGCTCCTCTCCACGTCGATGAGGAGCACAACTCTAAAATGGCAGAAATTGGAAAATAGATTGTTTAGACACTGCTGTGTGTCAAAACAAACCGTCATTATTTGCCCAAAACATAAGAATCTGCTACAACTAAATGATGCATTTAAGCTCATTTGTAGAATCAACACTCTCTGCTGATCATTGTTTGGAGAGAAAATAAGACTTAACGCTTACTTGCTGTAGTGTCTCCATATGAAGCAAAGCACTCATCACAGCCACTGGATGACAGAAGATTTTTGGCTGCCAGCCGACCCAGATTAGGCTTCACATTAAAACGCCCTGTAGCCAAAGAAATTGTCAAAATTGTTCCAAAGGAGAAACAAATACAGAAACGTTATCAAAGCAGTCTATATTTGCCTCAATAGAAAGCATGATATCACCCCTGGGTGGCTCACCGGGGTTGAGTATCCTCTCTGCAGCCTTGTGCTCCAGGTGCCTGTGGAGGATCATTTCTGCCTTCCTCTGGTTTGTGCTAATGTCGGGCTCGGCCATGATCTCCGTTATCCTCAGGTTGTTCTTGATGGCCTTGGAGGCCGTGGAACGGGCCACTGTGGGCAGAAGCTCCTGGTACTCTTGGTCAGTGAAGTCCGACATTGGGCGTTGAACTTCTCTGATGCTGAGAAGGGAAACTTAAGAAAATCAGAACATCTACAGATCTCTGTTGTTTACATGTTTTGTGACTATCATTACACTGTGCAAATGTGCTGTATACCAGCTGACTGGCACCCTTTTTTAGTGTGTTTACTTAGGCTCAAGAAACCACTAGAAACCAATTAGCGGGGTGTTGATAGTTTTTTAATTGCCCACATATTGTTAAAATCTTCGTGATCCAGTTAAAGTCATTGTTCAGTATCAGCATCCTTTAGTTTTTATAGTTGTAATAAGCAGTGATGTGTGTAAGATGTTATAGCAATGTCAACATTACAAGAAGGTTACATGCATTGTATAGTTTTATATGTAGTTACATCTAACACATTCCTTAGAGGTACATAAGCTAAACAATTTGGCAATAGTCAATTCACAGTAATGTCTCACACCAAAAAGAAACTGGGAAACTTATGAGCTAATAACACACACGCTTGAGTGCCTTACTGAGTACCTTACTACTGCAGTGTACTAATATCACTAAAGTAAACTAGCTGTGAAAATTATACAACAAAATAGTCAGGACAATTAGTTTTTCTAACCTCCAGGTATACATAAGATGCTATATAAACTCCCCATCTGTCTGGTTAAAGAAGAAAAGCAGCTGATGTTTTTGAATCTGCCTCAATCTCAAACGCTCTTGTTCTCCACCCAATCAACACATACCTCCGGTTAGTTAAGACAGTATAAACCTCCTGCACCAACAATTCAGCTGCTCCTGGTTTACAGTGGATGACTCCATCAATAACTTCTTTCATTAAGTGCAGATTCTGCTTCTGTAGAGACTGAGACAATGAAAACTTTTAGTAATTATCTGATGCAAAATAAGGACCTGAAAGTGGAGTCATTTTTAATACTAATTTAGCAGTCCACTAAAGGCAAAATTAAACCATATTTAATTCACATGCCAACTGAACTGAGCTGCTCATTATATTTTTAGATTTCTTTCCTCCTCTTACCTTTTCTATTTGGCTCCAGTTCCTCTGTTTGGCAGAAAGTGAAGTTCCTTTGTCATATGAATGTATTGGAAAATCGTGGGAGTAATAACGAGACAATATCTCTGCGACAAGGAAACCATTGGAAAAATCTCTGTGGAAAAAAGTATGGAGAACAGACTGAGTATATTTACTCCACCAGTGAAATCTACTTTGAAAAGTTTGCTGTCTTTGGAATGCATTGATGTTTGTCAGCATTTTATTGTAAGTCCCTGTATTGTACAACCCAAATTCCAAAATAGTTGGGATGCTACAGAAAACATATATTATAAATCTTATTTGATCTATATTCAATTAAATACAAAACAGAGATGAGATATTTAATGTATTTAATGCAACAAGTTCCAAAAAAGTTAGGACCAGGAGCATGTTTACCACTGTTTTACATCACCATTTCTTCTAACAACACCCAGTAAACTTTTATGAACTGAGGACACTCATTATTAAAATTTTGAACACAAAGTTCTGTCCTTTTCTTGTTGATTTATGACTTTAGTTGCTCAGTAGTCCAGGGTCTCCATTGCCGTATTTTGTGCTTCATAATGTGCCCCACATTTTTAATGGGATACAGGTCTGGACTGCAGGCAGGCCAGTCTGGTGCCGGTTGTTACAGGTGCAGAATGTGGTGTGACACTGCCTTGCTAGAATAAGCAGAAGTGTCCCCTAAAAGATGCTGTCTGCATGACAGCATATGTTTTAGCATTCATGGTGTCTTCACAGATATGCTAGTTACCCATAATGCCATGGGTATGAAAACACCCCACAGATGCTGGCTTTTAAACTTTGTGGCAGTGACAATTTGTATGATCTTTTTCTTCTGTAGCCTGGAGGACACAACGCTCGTGATTTCCAAAAAAACAGTTTGAAATGTAGACTCGTCAGACCACAGTCTTAATTTGCATTTTTACATGCAGCAACAAACTTTGTTTACTGACAATGGTTATCCAAAGTGTTTTTGAGCCCATGGCATGTAGTAATATCTATTATACAATCTTATCATTTTTAATGCCATGCTGCCTGAGGGGTTAAAGGTCACAGCCATTTAATGGTGGTTTTCAGCTTTGCCCTTTTCATGCTGAGGTTTCTCCAGATTTATCTGAATGTTTTGATGATAAAATTCCTTGCAATTGTGCGTTGAGAAACATTGTTCTTAAACTGCTGGGACTGCTTGCCCATGCAGTTTTTCACAAAGTGACTATCAAGGATGCTCTTATCATACTCAGTCATGACACTTTAATCTGTTAACAGTTGACCTGTTTACCAGTGGAACGATCCAAAGAGGTGTCGAGGTGTCTGTCTGTCTATCACATTCACAGTAAATGTATACTTACAAAAAAATATAAAATACAGTTCACCGATCTGACCATTAAATATCTTATCTTTGTACTTCATTCAATTAAATATAGGTTAAATTTGATTCACAAATCATTGCAGTCTGTTTTAATTACATTTAGATGAAATTGGGGTTGTATATTTAGCTTTGTTACGTGGTGCAACGGTACAGGACACTCCTGTAAAATCATTTTATTTCTCGGTGAGGCCCTTTCGAGGTTAAATAAAGTTATCAGTACTAGCATCATTAGCATCAGCTAAATGCTGGTTAAATATGCAATTGGAGACTAGATTTGCTTTTTTCACCAGCTAATAAAACAATGGTAATCTATTGAGTGGCTGGTAGGTTTTATAGCCCACCAGTCACGGTGGCAAGTGGGCAAAAAGTTAGTTTCCAACCGTGGCTGGCGCTAACTACGTTAAATAGACTCGTTAGTTGTAGCTAGCATGCTAGCTAAACCCAACTGAAACAACGGTTAACACGAACCTACGTAATAACGTTATGTCACCGAGACCTGTATAGTAACTGACTGTTAAACTACATTTATGTCAACTTTATAGTCTGGAAATTGACCTGCAAATACTTCTTTATCAGCGCTCATTGGGACGTGTATTCTGTTAGCTAAGTTAGCTCAGTTGCGGTTTGTGTAGATGAACTCTTTAACGTTACCTGCGCACATTCTTCGGATAAAATGACAGGTCGAGGCTCTGCAGCCATTTCACCACTTCTCTCGGCAGTCCTGTCTTTTTGGGAGACTGTGGGTAAGACATACCGCTGTCAAGGTGATGAAATCTACAAACAAATAATGTTTTACTGTTAACTATACAGCAAGTCAATCCATATAATCATGCTAAACCCCAATTAACTCGACCGGTTTCCCCTACAGCCGGTGGACTTTGTTTATGTTTCCATGGCAACGACAGGACACACTGCTCCGACATGTGGCAGCACAGACAGCAGTGCTGTTTACTGCCCCTCAGAGGATGTTACAGTAATAGGCCTACACAATTTTATGGAGGATTTCCAATACATTAATTTTACCAGTATACAATATGAAATAGAGGAAGACATGAAATATATAATTCTGTCAATACAGGCATGTGATACAGCCATGAAAGTGGGAAACAGGTCCGTATAAACATCCAAAACTCAGCTCAGTGTTATGAAATGTTATTTCACACTGCTATTTATTCATGTGATTTTGTCCACAATGTCTTTGAAGCTTTATTTAATTGTGGTAGATAGTAATGTAGCTATTGTCTCAGCAGTAGAAATAAACACTTGCTGCTCCACTCCCTCATATTTTCCATTTGGGACTTAACAGTAAAGTCAGCTGCCTCCAGCTGTCAGTACTCTGTAATCCGAGCTTAAACATGTCAACTATTTTTGTTTTCAAACTTTTTGTATTAATGATTCTCCCTCTGCACCTCCAAGTCAAACATCATTAGCAACACAGCCTGCAAAGACAACATATTTTGGAATGCATGGGATTTCAAAACAATTTTAATCATCTAGTTGTGTGCAGTGTGTTATATATCAGATGCAAAACTATGTATAGTCATTTACATATACTGTGCATTTATACAACATTATATAAAGTTTTCAAAGTGCATCACTCTCTGATTGCTATCACAACTAACAAGGAATCTTCTAAATACGGCACACCTGAATGACAAATAATATGTTTATGTTTTATATTTTAATCATATTTTATCCAGGGAAGGCTATGCCTCAAACGTTATTTTTTTAAACTCCTTGCTTTAACATTCATCCAAGTCCACAATCACATATGGGATGCAGGCCAGCTCAACACAGCTTGGTACTGCCAGCTACTCAGTGGCTACTCAGTGACTAATTGACTGGTAGCTAAAATTAAAAGTAGGAAGAGTTCATGGAGTGGATGCGCTTTTTCTGTCTTTAAGTCCAATTTATGCAGGCAGTTTGTTCTGCCTGTCATTGGTACTGCAGGTAGTTACTAATTCTGTTGGGCAGGGGAAGGTGGGAAAGAAGGTGGAGTCTGTCACGGCCGACGCAGCTCCTGATGCACTGACGACACAGCTGGCTCAGCAGTCTCGGTGTAGCTATGGAGATAAGACAATGAAGCATTATATAGCCTGTTTCTAATGCATAAGTGGGAATCATTGACTACAGTTGACATTTTCTTAACTGTCATGCCACAAGCTAAGATAAAAGGAGCGTGAAGGACAAATTTTACATCTGTCAATGGAGTTCTAACACAGACATCAACACAATAAGTTAGACAAAAGAGATTCAAACATAGGTCTCTAGTAGCTTACAAAAAAGTACTAGTGTTGTTGTACCTTCATATAGCAGTAGAAAGCCCTCTGTTAGACTGCTGGGTGGAGCCACATCTACCGGCCTCTGAAACTCAGTGTTCCTGGCATTAATGTCTGCACCAAAGTCCAGCAGCAGCTTCACTACAGCTGTGCTGTCCTTTTCTGCAGCTGCATGTAAGGGTGAATCCAGGGACTTGCCTTTCTGTACATTTGCACCTGTGAGGAGGACAACTTGATTATCCATCTTAGACAGAGTTCAGATGGAAAAGCTTCAGTGTCAGATACGTGTTGTGTTCATAGTAATCCAGGAGTTGATTTGTGACTATATATTCTTATTTTTATTTTTAATGTAACTGCCTTCCCCTGTAGCCCTCTACATAACAATTTATTACATTTCCCAGAAATTACTTTCAACACCCCTGAGTGAACTTGTTACTTTCAATCAAAGGTAGCCAGCAGTATGGGCATACAAATAGCTTGAAAATGTAATCAGTCAGCTGTGGGCTACATGTAGCTGCTGTGCTGCTCCCTACTCAATTGCATCATGTGGTGCGTCTGCATTACTGAGGCCAGTAGCAGTAAAAAATACAGTGTATGTGTTTTGTTGCCGCCTCCGACTGAATTCCCTTTATATGGTCTTGAGAAAGATACTTTTTAGAGTTTCGGAAAAAACTGACAGGCTAACACCTCCCACTGGTGTTTTCCATTGCCTTGATGATTTACATAACTGACAAAAAATAAAGCTGTTTTGTTGCTGCTGTGCTGAAAATGCCTGTCATCTGCAATCAGGTGGTTCATCAGGAATAATGAGAGTACAGCAACGTAAGGCCACACAAATGTTTTGTCAAAATGCTGTTTTTGTTTGTCAGGTGCTAAATGATTTCAAAAAGGCCTTTTAAAATCTACTGTGCGTGCATATTTGTTTATGTATTTATTTCCCTTTCCCTCCACACTAAATGTGCTTGCGTAACCTTGTGTGTATGTTCAAACAGGACGTGTGCCCGTCTGTGCGGAGATGTAAAGATCCACACTGTGCTGCGAGCTGACCTTCCCTCAGGAGTTTCCTGGCACACTCCAGCTCTTGGCAGACGCAGGCTGTGTAGAGCGCTGTGCCCAGGTGAGGAATGTCCATGTCCACATCTGCCCCCCAAGTCACCAGAGCCTCCACACAACCGTAATGACCTGGACGTAATGAAGCATGAAGACAGTAATCAGTAAGTGACAATGCGAAATAATTCTCCAAGCTGTCTGCTTGGGTCATGTTGAGATTTATTTTTAAAGCTGTTTTTCACGGTGCGGGTGTGTATGGAAGTGCTTTATAGCACAGTAAAGGACACAAATATAGGTTGAGAGACAGGATGTAGTGAAGGCTGTAGTTGTAGAGTTATATATGGGTTCGTTATATATTAAAGGTCTAATAATCCTCATTAAAATGTCTAAAATCAGCGAGACCAGTGTTACATATTTTGCTGAGTTGTGTACATAGAGTATCCCAAACATTTCCAAAAATGCTCAAACATTACAGAGACATCTGTAACTTTAATCAAGGACCCAGTCCATGTCATTTGGTTGCATCATATCCTCTGTGTGCATGTGTCAGGTTTGTGGTTGTCTGCCAGAAGGTGTCATAAATGGACTTTTTTATCTGGTTTTAGGCCACATTTTTACAATGCACCTTTCAGATCTTGGTTGTTTTTACCTAAATATTTTACCCAGATGGAGGATTTAAGTCATTGGATGTCTGGATTTAACTTTATCAGAGAAAAATGCTGAGCGCACGTTAGCAGCAACTAGGCTCCAGCCCCTGCTGCGCTGAATAGTGTCGCAGAAACAAAGATTTTGAATCTGAAACTGCTTTATTCAGTGTATACACCAGTTTAAATCACAGGGTTGGTTTGTTCTGGAGAGGGGGAGACCTCTGCTGATAATTCGGCCCCTGGTAAAAACCTCTTAAGTGTCTGATTCTGAGTGTATCAGAGAAAATGATGACAGGAGCTGGGCTAGTAAACCCTTCTGCAATGAGCTGAAGAACGTCGGAGAAACAGTGATTTTTAACATAAAACTGCTTTATTCTTATTCTTTTTTTTTTTTTGTTTTACCAGTTTAAAACACTTAAAACATTTCTTTTAGAGAGGAAGAGACCTAGGTAGATAATTCAACTCCTTGTAAAAACTTCTTGAATGATGAACACTGTAGGAATACTAACTGGGAGAAACTGACTGCAGTGACTTTTGTTGTTGCACTGATTGAGAGACCCCTATATTATTGTACATTTAATAACACACAGGGTGGCGATGCTGTTATATGAGATAACGAACACCAGCAGCAACACAGATACAATGGGCACTGAATTTGTGACAGCTAACTGCCACACAACACTGTTTAGATGTACACTAAATTAAGAAGTCATTAGAAAACTACCTGATATAATACTAGTTGATGCATTTTGTCATAATGCAAAACACTTTGTAATAACATACCTTTGCTTGTAGCTTCATGTATTGGTGATGGATGGTATACAGCACTCTGGGGTTTTGCTCCATTTTCCAAAAGAACTTCAGTGCATGCCACGCTGCCCACTGCACAGGCGTTGAACAGAGGGGTGACTCCATCAATCGTGGAAGCATTGACCTGTAAACACATTTTCTTAAATTGTTATTTTTAGGCCTTGTTTAACGATGCAAGTTGACTAATAGCAACAGCCTGGGGGAACAGTTGAAGGGGAACAACAACCTAATAGCTCTACAGTGACTGTAGAATACGAGCAGCATTGCTCATTTGTTACTTCTCCCCAGCCGCGGAAATGACATTTGACCTGTGCAGCATAGCAGCATTAAAGGCCAATATGTGACTTACATTTGCTCCTGCATCTATGAGAGCTCTGGCACAGGTGACGTGGTCTCCGACACAGGCCTCATGAAGGGGTGTCACATGGTCTATTGTCAGAACATTCACACTGTGACCCTGGAAACCAAATCACACAGCCACAGATATTTAGATGTTACATGATGCATTAAGTAATACGTGACCTTTGTCAGCCTCTATTGGTGAAAACTAGGAACTGCAAGATCATAAACAGAGCTTATCGTCTTTTATAAAACAGACCTGTCCTCCTCAGTTATGGCTGTCAGTAATTGACTAACTATAATGTACAGTCACATTAGAATAATAGAGATGAATAAGCTTGCTAATTAAAGTGCAGATCCAATAGAAGAGAGAACTAATATATCACCATGCAGAATACTGTAATGTTATCGCTGCTTTGTCATGAGCTTGTTTGAGTGAAGAACAAGACATTGTTGGCTTCATAGCTCAAATGACTTGACTCTCTTGTAGCACACTCCTCAATTTGTGAGCAGCTGGAAATGCATGTGGGAGAGGAGATTCTCCCTTAAATCAGCAACTCTGTCAACCCTTTCAGATACTTTATACAATGCTTAAGTAATACTTGTTATTATGGTGATTCTGTGCTGCATGTTTGTACTTCAAAAACATGTTTTAGTGCTGTATTGTCTAAGATGCCAAGTCATGAAATTGTAAGCTTAGGTAAACATGTCAGCATCTCACCTGAGATTTACT